GCGGCGGGAGGGCGCGGCGCGGCGGGCGGCGCGGGGGCCGGGGCTGCGGGGGCCGGCGGCGGCGCGGCGGCGGGGGCGGCGGCGGCGGGAGGGCGCGGCGCGGCGGGCGGCGCGGGGGCCGGGGCTGCGGGGGCCGGCGGCGGCGCGGCGGCGGGGGCGGCGGCGGCGGGGGGGCGCGGCGCGGCGGGCGGCGCGGCCGAGCTGCAGCCGGAGTTGGCGGTGGCCGAGCACGTGCGGTACGAGAGCACCGGCCCAGCGTTGTGCACCGTGGTCTTCCTGCTCGTCTACTTCTTCGGCATGGCTAGCTCCATCTGGTGGGTCATCCTCTCCCTCACCTGGTTCCTGGCCGCCGGCATGAAGTGGGGGAACGAGGCCATCGCTGGCTACGCACAGTATTTCCACCTGGCCGCCTGGCTGCTCCCCAGCGTCAAGTCCATTGCTGTGCTGGCGCTCAGTTCTGTGGACGGGGACCCCGTGGCTGGCATCTGCTACGTGGGCAACCAGAGCCTGGAGAACTTGCGGGGCTTCGTGCTGGCACCGCTGCTCATCTACTTGGCCATCGGCTCCATGTTCCTGCTCGCTGGCTTCGTCTCACTCTTCCGTATCCGCAGTGTCATCAAACAGCAGGGTGGCCCCACCAAGACCCATAAGCTGGAGAAGCTGATGATACGCCTGGGACTCTTCACCGTGCTCTACACTGTGCCAGCTGCCAGCGTGGTCGCCTGCCTCTTCTACGAGCAGCACAACCGGCCACGCTGGGAGGCCACGCACAACTGCCCCTGCCTGCGTGACCAACAGCCTGACCAGGCCCGCCGCCCTGACTATGCCGTCTTCATGCTCAAGTACTTCATGTGCCTGGTGGTGGGCATCACCTCCGGCGTCTGGGTCTGGTCTGGCAAGACCCTTGAGTCCTGGAGAGCCCTCTGCACTCGCTGTTGCTGGGCCAGCAAAGGTGCTGCCGTGGCTGGGAGCGCAGGGGCAGGAGCAGGTGGGCAGGCAGCAATCACCGCAGCAGGAGGACTTGGGGCTGGAGGTGGTGGCTCACTCTACAGTGATGTCAGCACTGGCCTGACGTGGAGATCAGGCACTGCCAGCTCTGTCTCCTATCCCAAGCAGATGCCCCTGTCTCAAGTATGAGGAGGGCAAAAGAGGCCAAAGGTTAGGGATTGAGGGACACTGGCCTGCCTAAAATGCCCCCTCACTGTTTGGTGCCATTAATGAACCCCTAATGGTCCTTATTAGCCACAGCTTGTATAGAACAATGCAGCTGGCAGAGGCCCCAGGCTCCAACCCCCTCCTCCTTCCCCTCCATTCATATGCAGGGAGCATGTACTTCAAGGAGCCAGCTTATTATTTTGCTGGCAGAGGAGGGTAGAGGCTCACCCGTGTCTTACAGAGGGCAAGGCACAGCGCTTCTGAGTCACTCTGGACTAACAGCAACTCTTTACTCAAGGGAGGGAGGGTCTTCCTCCCCCCAGTCCTGAGGTGGGAGTCTGCTGGGACTGCAGGTTTTTGAGATGTTGATGACCAGGCAAATGCCTTACAATATAGACTGAAACAAAACATGTCTTAATTATACACCCCAGCTAAATACGGGTTTCCTACATTAAAGGATGTATTTATATAATTATTTGTTACCTTGTACAGATGTGTAAAATATGTATATATCCAAAGCTATACAGTCTGTAAATTTTTTTGTAAAAATGTTTAGAGGCTACTCCTGTAAGAGCAAATATGAGTATTCTATTTTGTCAATAAAATGACTTTTGATAAATGACTTTTTCAAGCTTTTCCCCTACTCCTGCCTTGGTTCTTCGAACTGCTATATCTTTAGGTAGCTGTATAAACTACAAAATACATTTATGCTCCAGTCATTACCTGTTAAAGTATTGAGATATGTAGACACAAGAAAACAAGTCATTCAACAAGTTGTTCTGAAAAAGTGTTTGCCAAAATGGGGAGGTTCCTTGCCATAGTTCTCTGCTTTTTGAAAGATGACAGTATCTTTAAATTGAGCCTTTACAAAAGAGTCATCTCACATGGCATGTTAAGTATCCTTTTAAAATCGGTGTTATTTTAGGAATGTGCACACAGGCCTCTTGTATCTGTTGTCTGCACTTCTGTAAGCACCTGCCTTTCCTGGGATGCATACTGAAGTGTAAAAGGTTAATGTTTTAAATTCATAGATCATGTACTTTGGTGGAACAGCGAGTTGAGATTTGTTAGATCAATCTCTTCTTAACAGATTAAACTAACATCTTAACTTTTGTATATCAAATATGGTGCTTTTTCAAGAGAAAAGGTATTGTTCTTCTGTCAGGACTAAGCTAATTTATTTGAGCAGAAGGCTGTTGAATTAACAGAAGAATGCTTTGGCAATTGTTGAACTTTTTACCTGTCTGCCCAGTGGCTCAGAACATCATTCCTTTAAGAGGAGCTAAATGAATAGGGTTAATCTGTAGGGAACTTGGTTTCTTTTGAGTTTGGGAAAACTTTGATCTTTTCTCTTCACCAAACGTGATGTATAGTCTGAAGTTTCTTTCCCTGCTGCCTGGTTCCTCTTGTTGCAGACCAATTGGCCACCATGGAGCCTTAAAGTTCTTCAATTAAAGGGACATGGGACTTTTTTTTTTTTTTTATTTTAAGAGGAAGACTTGTAACAGTTAGTGAACACCAGAGGGAAAAGGGAGAACAGCCTTTTAAACAGCTTTTCCCTGCATTGTTAGCCAGACTGCAGGCAGCAAGGCATGGCTTGGAGCATTATAGAAAAGAGCTATGAATGCCCTACAGGTGGTCTGCTCACATAATCTCCCCAATTTAAAACATTTTCCTTTACAGGACAATTGCATTACAAAACTCCCTTCTCTTTTGCTCCTAATTGAACCAAAGAACTACTACAAGATTTTCTTTAAAAACTGAGTGTCTAAAAAAATTTAAAATGTATTAACTACATTCTAATCTGTTTTCTAAAATGCAAGTACTCACAATGCCAGGAGTAAAAACTGCAGTAGACATTATTCCAGATATTTTTATGTCTTCTGCTTATATTCTGTCAAATTAACAATAATTTAAAAGCAATTGGTTAGGTTGTGTGCTAGCAGTGAAAAGATAGCCCCAGGTCCCTTATTAACCTGCCAATCATGATAAGAGATGGGCAGCTACCCTACTAATGACACAGATATCAGTCATGATTTGTGGGAAAAACCTTGTTTCATTGAGCACTGACTTGATTATTGGTGTCCTTTTCAAAGACCTCCTAACTTAATAGACTTCACTTCTACAAAGTTATTGGGATCATGAAAAGGAGGAATTTAAAATGCTCCTAACTCCTCAGAGGGAAAAACAGTTTTAACTTCTCAAATGCAAAGGAAGTTCCACTGAAATTTGTTCATGGTACCTATTTATACACCAATTGACCAGGATCAGAATATTGATATACCTGTAAGTTGAAAAGGCTCTAGTATTTTCCTGTATTGCTGGAAACATTTATTTTTTTTCACAATTGTTGAAACATTTAGATCAACGTGGCACTTTCCACTGCTGTCAGCAGGGCTGAGGTAGAGATCTCCCTGCTTGGGAAGCTCCACATACAGAAGCACAGTCAGTTCTGCAGATAAAAATCTGAGTTCCTTCCCCTCCAGCAGGTTCTAGCAAGGAAGACAGAGGGGAGCTACAGCCACAACTCTTGTCTGAGAATTTGTTTAGATAGGTCTCTTGCAGACTGCTGGTACAGGTTGCTGGTACTGAGATAAAAGCATTTCTAGTAAAAGAAAGGAAGCAGTCCTGTGGCTTAACCTACTCTGGAATGAGCCAAGGGGTGTTACAGGTGAATTTAGGCAGGAAAGGAGTCTCAGAGCTAGTCAAGTTACCAAGATACCTGCTTTGGAATTGACTGAGTAATAATGCAAAGGCTAAACAAATAAAAATGAAGCAAAATTCAAATCACTAGAAACACAAAGATAGGGAAATGGTGCTAAAGAAGTTAACTTACAAGTGCGGATTTTTGTGATTCAGCATAAAATTCGTGTATAAGGAAAAACATAATCAGAAACACCAACAGCAAGTCATTTAGGTATAAAAGAAATACAAATCCATGAACTTCACGTTATTAGGATATCTTTTATCAGACTTTAAAGATAGATTTCATATAAAGACCAGAAAAATATTGTTGTGTCATTGGTAGGAAATACATGTTAGCTTTCAAGATCTGATGATAAACTGCCTTCTCCCTTACATTTGACAGAAAGCTATTAAAAATAGCACCAGCAGACCATGGCCCAAGCCCTTACCTGTGGAGCAGGAGTGCCCTCGGCATCCCTGCTGGCACAGGCTCATCCATGGGCAGGGACAGCACCCATGCACACCAGCTCCAGAGAGCTAAGGGAAAGCTCCCCTGTCACTGATGTGGCCCATAGCACAACTTGTATAGGAACATTTGGAGAGCTGCACAAATGGCAACTAAGAGCCTCCCATAGCTCACAGAAAGGCCTGACTAACTGCTCTGTTCAGGCGAGTGACCGACCCAGCAGAGGAACATGGTTTGGGATTTTTTTTCTTCCCAAATAAGCAACGTACCTTTAAAGTGTTATTTTTCTTTCCAGGACTCCTCTTTGCTTTACATGTTCCTGCTTCAAAAGAAAATGCTGTGGATTATTCTCCTCCTCCTGCTGCAATGACTAAATAATGCTGCAGCCTCCCACATTGCTGGCCTAGCTTCTGGTGGGCATTTTAAAAGGAGGCAGAGCAGTGTAGGTGTGCTGGAGAGCCTCAGCAGGGACATCATACGTTCCCTGGACCCTTCTGCTAAGCCCTTGGGGGCTATCTGGAAGTATCCTACAATGTACTCAAAGTTTTCTCTGTGCAGGAGAAGCTTCCCTGGAGCTTTGATAATCAATCATGGAAGGGAAGGGACTTCAGACAGAGAGGAATTAGGTCATTCTCATATAATAATATGAATGTGGCCAGGCTTTCTGGGAAGGCTATGAAGGCTAAGACTGGCACACAAGGAGTATTTTTTCCTTCTTTCTTACGTAGAATTTGAAAAGCAAAGTATTGGGGTGGTCACCCATTGAACAGTTCTTCAAGTGTGCTTGAGTAGTCCTAAAAAGAGTCCCAGGAGGGGTAGGAAAGCTGGAGGCAGGGGTGTCTGTGTGCACACACTACCCACAGCTTCACCCCAACTTTGGTGCCCAGGCTCTCTTCAGGTTCACTTGGGAGGACACCTCGCTAGGCACATGAAGGTGCCTTGTAGAAGAAATTGGCAACAGTTTTTCACAAGAGGAGACTTGTACCAGGAGACAAGGCAGAATGCCCAAATTTAAAAAGGAATCACTAGCTGAAAAAGAAATACATTGGGAGAATCCCATGTCTACTTTGAAATACGAAAATTAATACAAGACCACTGCTTGATCCCACTGACTGTGCTCAAGACATTTATGTCACAAGCACTACATGCAGTGCAAAAGCCAAACCAAGCCTGCTCAGTAAGTTAACCTTCGCAGTCGATAAAGACGTGGAATTTTATATGGGATAGACAGGCCACCTAAAAGCAAACTGGTGATAATGAACACTGAAAAATGACAAAAGATGCTCCTGGAGTGAAAGCTCTCCTACAGTCGAGATCATGCTGGACGAAAGCTCAGTGTGGGCCAGTCAAACCAGCTTGTGGAATCACAACCAGTTTCCAAAGTGCCTGTTACAACCTGCCTGTAGCATGCCCTGCTCCTGCACCCCATTCCAGAGCCACACAGCCTGTGTTTCTCTAGGCACACACTTCTACTCCCACACACCGTGGTCAACACAGCTGCTGGCCTAATAGGGAAGCAGGTAAGGAACAACCTCTCTCCATTGCCCATCCTGGCCATGTTCCCTCTCTTTTTGTTCTGCATACCAGATGGTACGGAAGAGATAGCACATCTCTTCTTAAAGAGGCTGGGCAACAAAGGTCACCCTGAAAACAGTAGAATGAGACTAAGAAGAATAAAGAGATCTACAAATGATGGTCCAAAGAAGAAATATTAAACAGGACAGGCTCCCAGCATGTGGTCATGATTAGTTCTAGGCAGCCTTTAAGAGAATGTAATTAGAAATCTTCAGACAACTGTATTGATTTAAGCTTTTATAACTGCCCATCATTACTGTAATCAGGTATATGAATTTCACTAGTTCAGCAGAAAGGATCACACATCATAAATGCTATGGTGGTATGGAAATAACTACTGTCTGGTGTTAAAATGTGGAGCAATAATATGAGGCGACTAAGGATAGTCAAATCACTTCAGAAACTACTACCTAAGGTCAAATGCTGAACCAAGCTTTTTGAAGGCTGAGATAACACTTTTTCACTCCTACAAGTCTCTTATCTGTGCTCTCAAAACACTTTACATTCACTTGTTAATTAATAGTCAAATTTCTTCTTGTGAGACAAAAATTGCGGTAATAATACCCAGGCTAACGAAACTTAAATGCAAGTCTAGGGGAAGAACCTGGATTTCCTGACTCCACTCTGTGTTTTCAGTAAAGCTCCATTTTACGAGCATTTCCTCACACCTTTGCCCTCCCCACCAATTTCCCCCCAGTAGTCCGCCAAAGGCCACAGTCCCACATCCCCAATACCCAGGTACAGCACCAAATCTGTCTCCGGGGGGGCCATCGGGGCAATGGATGTTGAGGGGCTGGAGCCCAGTCGGCTTTTAAAAGAATGGAGAAAAACGAGTCATTCCTCCATTTGCTAAGGCAGGGAGGTATGGAAAATAGGGTTTACAACAATTTTGGAGT